AACCCCTCCCAACTGACGTGAGCCATAAGCTACCACTTTCCCCTCTTGCATCAACACATAACCCAAATCCTCTCGTGAAGCATCACAATACACTACATAACCCAAACCCCTCCTCGAGCGTCCAATCCCACGCTCGAGCGTCCAACACTGCACAGGAAATACTGGATGGGTGATAATCCCGCTCGAGCACCAAAACCCCCGCTCGAGCGGACAAGCAACAAAAGAATCCCTGCTCGAGCGTCAAACTCCCGCTCGAGCGGGCAGGTCAAAATCTGGGCAACTAGTTTTGGCATCTAAACTCAACCGACTTGTAACAGATCCGCCCAACACATCCTATAACTCAAATACAAAGAGATTAAAGGACGACAACAACCAATATATACTGACCGGATCCACGGAACCTAAGTCCGGATACAATAATCTAAAGGAAAAAGACCGGGGTCGCTATAGGGAGGTACATGTTCAAGTGCCAATCAAGCCTAGTGAGAGCTTGATCCGATCATATGGACTTGTGAAAACAATTGGACAAGCTATTGGAGCTCATGTTGCTTGGCCTGCTCCATTTGTGGTATATTTCTTTCATAAATACTAATTTCATTAACAAATTTATATTAACTTAATATAGTGTTAATTACCTTTATAAGTTTATCTTTTGGATGTAGATTTCACAACATATGGATGCTAGCCGAGAATATTTATACAAGTGAGATTGAGAGTTTGGGAACTGATTTTGTTTTGATAATTTGTCTCTTCGAAACATGGATGTCACTATGGCTTTTTAGAACTTATGGTTTGAATAATTTTCTTTTAATTTTTTTTTTTTGCTTTAACTTTGTTAATGTAGTAGAATATTTTATAATTTCAGCAATGGATTTTTATTGCAATATAAATAAATTTATATTTCAATAATAAATAATTGATTTTGGTTTGAATTTTTTTTTTTTGATGATCTTATGGTGGTAATATTTGTTTATTATTATGAAAATATTACAAGATGAATGGATGTCAAATTAATATATGATGTGGCAATTAATATTTAATTGTTTATAAAATTGATTCAATTTTTATAGGTATTTACGCATGCATAATTGTAGCTTTTAAAAGTGTCAATGAAAAAAATATATAAGTGGCATTTTGTAGTAGTGATAGTAGCTTTGCAAAGTGTCACTAAAATAAGTTCCCATGTCAACTTATATCTATTTAATGGCACAAATGAATTGGATTTAGTGACATTTATGAAGGTGTTATAAATATCAATTGTGGCATAATAAGCGTCATTAAAAATCCATATCATGGCATTTTTTAGATTGCAAGTCTTCTTTAATGGCTCTTGATAGCGTCACGATTAGTGCCTACCATGACATTAAAGTGTCACTGAAAGGTCATGACATTAAAGTGTCACTGAAAGGTTTTAGTCTTGATGGTGTAATGACACTTACAAGTGTCACTAACTCTTTTTTTAATGGCACTTGAAAGTGACACAAATAATATCTACCATGACATTAAAATGTCATTGAAAGTTTTCAGCCATGATGGTGTAGTGGCACTTGCAAGTATCTACCATGGCACTCGTATCTACCGTGGCACCGATAGAAGTGGCACTTGTTCAAAATGCCACAAGACCAAAAAATGTCATTAGAAGAATAGTTTTGTGGCACTTTCAAATGTCACTAAACTAAGAAAATGTTGTAGTGTATCCAAAAGCTACACATTTTTTTAAATTTTTTTTTAATATGTAGGATATTTACAAATGAAAAATATTTGGCACCTCAAAATTTTTTTCCATAGTCTGACTTATAATGATGTAATCATAAGTGTCAATTTTTACACAAATATGAGAATTAATTAAATTATACATTTCAACCAACCACATAGTCAAACTTTGACTGTTTGAAGATGTTATTTCACTATAATTCCAATTAAGAGAATCTTCAACTCTTAATATTTTTTTTATCAAATTATAATTTGATAAAAATTTAAAGCGATGAAATGTTAAAATTATTGTTTTTTCCATCAAAATTGGTGAAAAGAAAAAAAAACAGGATAAGAATGAGATTCTTTTAAAAATTGATAAAAAAAATTAATGAAAAAGTTAAAGTAATTCATATAGAATCAAAAAAATTATTCAAATTTAAAATTAAATTAGATAAAAAAAATTAAAAGAAAATAATGAAAGTTTGAAATATTTTAAAACCTTATTATTATTAAAGACTAGAAATCCATGTGTATATTATATTCATATTGTATTTTTAGTTATGAAATTGAAATCAAAATAAATGTAACTTAAATTATTGGATTAATAATAGAAATATCATATTAATTATTATTAAATATCATTTCACTTCACATTTAATAATAAAATTGTATAGTATACTACAAGATAAATATTAAATTATTTTAAAATAATTATAATAATGTTTTTTAATTTATAAAATTCCATGCATAGCGCAAGTTACCACTTGCAAAGTATTATGAGAAAGTTGAGAGAGACATCCACTGTTCACACCAACACTCGCACATCACATCAAATTACATGTACATAAATTAAGGTTTTAATATAAAAAAATAAGAAACCGTGTAAGGTTGCTCTCTCATTCTGACTATAACTAAACTATATATAGGCGTGATCCATTTTTGACTTCCCAACTTGCAATCTTATTGACTCAACTCTCTAAAATGTATAACTCTTTTTCGGACTGTGTGTGTAGACTTTTTATCCGCCGAATAACAAATACGAATTTAGTGTAAGTTTGAAAAATTAGTTTTTAATTAATAGTTAATATTATAAATTTGTAATTATTTTGAAAATTATCATTAATTTATAATTTCTCCTAAAATAAATGAATTAATCAAAAAAATTTACAAAATATGGAGAATCTAAAATGATTACAATATACATGAAAAAAATGTCAATTAGTTATAAAATGGTGAGAAAAATATAAAATAACTAATTTACCCTTCATTTTCTCTCTAATGTCTCCCTTTCAAAATGTAAATCCTTACCCACCGCAAACTAGAGGGGAAGAAGCACGGAGAGACCGCAAATGGACCCAGCCCCTCTTAAATGTTGAAAAAAAAAAAAAGCACACACACATTAGTCTATAAAATAACTAATTTACCCTTCATTTTCTCTCTAATGTCTCCCTTTCAAAATGTAAATCCTTACCCACCGCAAACTAGAGGGGAAGAAGTACGGAGAGACCGCAAATGGACTCAGCCCCTCTTAAATTTTGAAAAAAAAAACACACACACACTTTAGTAATTACCTATTTCAATAGCTAATAAAAAATAAAAATAAAAACTACTTCAATATTATTTCACAATGTATAATGAAATAATTTCCTATCATAAGCCATGTTAATTATTAATATTAATTTTATTAAATTGATTTTATTCATATAAGTGGTACGTGTCACTTTTTTCTTTTCTTTATAAATTAAATAATATTTATATATATTTAATTTAATAATCTAACAAAAGTAAATTTCAAAAGTTGTTATAAAGGCATGCAACCAAAGAAGCCATGGGCTTCATTTCATTTCATTTCATTTCATTTCATTATCATTGTCCTTTTCATTATTTGGATTTATTATCTTCTGGTTTGATACTTCCTTACCTTTCCTAGTAAAAAATAATACTATTATTTGCTATGAAATATTTATCTTTAACAAGAATTTCTTTCAACTGAATGCTATGATCATCAAATTTTTATATTCAAATTACTTATCTTTTATTTATTTGATGTTTTAGCTCATCTTTCATTTATTACATTGATATTGATGATCGGGGCCCAACTCGACACAAAGGCCCAAGACCCTAATCTGGCCCACACCCTTCGTGGAGAGAGAAGACCAAGCTCAACACTACGAGCCAGCTCGATTGGTCATCTAACTTGAGGACCAAGGTGGCCAACCCCAATAGTAAGGTCAATTTCCCATTAAACCTTACTAGCACCAAAAGTGGTGGTCAGACAACATTAGAATTCTGGACCCTCACCTACTACCTGACCCCGTAAGAATGTCAAAAACATGGCTCCCAAGGCAAATACACCATGCTGCACCCTCTAAGAGGGATGCCACAAATCCGTTGAGGTATCAAGTAAGAAACCCTACCCATGTATGACACATTCAGCACACTATTATCATATCATCTATATCTATATCCTCAAGCAAAATGTCTAACTTCTCCATCAAAGAACCGAAAAGGAAGACACCCATCGATAAATCCTTTTGGTCTTGTTTTGCAGGATAAAGATGTCAAAGGGCTGGTTTAAGACACGCGGACTACTTCTCTCTTTAGTCATTGGGTCGTCGGGAAGCTGATATCATCAATAAGTCCAGGAAACCTCCCTAATTTATCCAAAAATTTACCAACTGCCCACATAGTAGTACACCTCAATATGGAGGTTGTTTTTATTTAAAAGGAAATATATATATATATATATATACACACAATAACTATAATGCCCCCAAATTTTATTATTCGGATACATTACCAAATTCTTCATTAAAGTCCAATTATATAACATAAGTGTGGAAGCAAGATTACAATGAATAAAAGGAATATTCTCTCTCATATAATACAAATGATGAAGTACACAATTACAACAGATTACAATCTGTGCCCTTAGGCTTACATAGAATGTTACAAAATAAATAATTACAATGAAGAAACGACGTCATTTTTACGACACATTAACCCTCAATAAAAATCAACTTCTTGATCCTTGCTCGATGTAACCGACTCCATACCTGAAAAATTATTCAACGATTAGGATGAACATAATGGTCCAGTAGAGATCCACAGTGGTTCAAAACAATAACATTTTATTGAATAAAATGATCATGATGCTCGAGTTATAAGCACATATATAATGTGTCTTTTTATATTCAAAATACAAATACGTACGTATATCTTTTAAAGAGGATCCATATTTAATAACACAATAAAACTCATTTATTTTCTTATTTTTACGAGTCATAGAAATAATTTTCTCATATCTCAAAGAAATAATTTTCTCAAATCCATTTAATTTCACAAAAACGATTTCTCATATAGTTGATTACACTCTCACTTCCACCCATCTACCATTCCATAAAATTAAGTAACTGATTATGATATCACTGACAATTCAAGACATAGTAATTACATCCATCGTGTACATCATTGTATATCAATATACCACAAGTCATTCAACGATAAAACACCTTCATATACTCCGATATTTACCTACCTCGGCCTAAAAGGACAGTTGGGTACCTTTCAATCCAATACCACAAAGCTGACTATAACTGATAAACCACCACAACAACCATCATCAGATCAACAACAACCATCAGATCAACTTCCCAGATTAACTGAATAACTAATACAGTTAGAGTTAGTTAGGTTGTTATTTTGCTATAGTTAATAAACTGTAAGATGTTGAGTTTATGTAAACCATGGTTAGGATATAAGACTTGTTGTATATATAGATCAAATACGTTACTCTATGAGTTTAATGAATTCAATAATACCAAATCTTTTTATGGTATCAGAGCCTCTTTAGCTTCAACAAGTTGTGGTCCTTCAATGGCAGATTTGTGATCCAGCAAATTTGTGATCATTGACAGAGTCACAAATGTCTTCATCAATGGATGATGCTGATTCTCCTCTTCCATCAAATCTTTCTGTTCTCATTTCAAATCTGAGTTAGTTTGTGACTGTTAAGTTGGATTCATCCAACTACATCATCTGGAAGAATCAATTGCTTAATAGCCCTATTTGGTAGAGCTGTGGGAAAGTGCTTATAGCTTATGCCTAAACAGCTTATAACTTATAACTTTCAGCTTAAGCTGATTTCCAGCTTATTCTTAAAGCATCTCCTGCCCCACTCAAAGAATAAGCTGATTTCTGACTTCCACAAAGCTATAAGCTATAAGCTATAAGCTAAACCAAACACGTCAAAATAGCTTAAATTAAACTGAAAGCTAAAATAAGCTGTAAATAATTTCTGCCAAACAGGCACAATATACTTAAAACAACAAAACTCCTCTGTTGTGTTGATGGATCGAAGAACTGTCCTTCTCCTACTGTAGTTGATGCAAGCATTAAAGCAATTCTGAATCCAGAACATGCACAATGGTTAACCATTGATGCACATTTACTGAGTTGCATCACTGCAACCCTATCTCCAACAATTTTCACCTCTGTTTTCCATTGCATAACCAATGGTGAGGTTTGGTCTGTTCTTGAAAAGAGATTCACTTCCTTATCTCGATCACACATCCATCAGTTAAAGAATAAGCTTGGTCAAGTGGCTAAAAAAGGATCCACTATGGAAAAGTATTTATCTCAAATCAAAGCCATTGCAGATCAATTGGCATTTAGTTGCTTCTTCTGTGAATGATGAAGATTTAGTTCTCATAATTCTCAATGGTCTTCCTGATGAATACAGTGCATTCAAGACCACAATCTGAGTAAGATCAGATCCAATTTCCATAGAGTCCTTGTGCTCTTTACTTTGTCCTGAAGAGATTCATGTTGAACATGTTCTTAAGCATACTCATGCCTCTAAAATTCCATTTGCTTATGCAGCCACTAGTGGTCACAGATCTTATTCTTCCAATTTTAGGTCTTTTGGAAGCACTTCTGCTGTTACTAATTCTGGAGGAGGTCGAGGCTATAGAGGCAATTTCAACAGAAATGGCAGCCGATTTTATAGAGGTTTTCGAAGAGGAGGAAGGCTTTCTGGTTTTCAGTAGTCTCAGCAGTCTTATCAACATGCTTCACAACATGCTCCTCATTGTTCCTCATCTGCTGTTATCCGTCAGATTTGTGGCAAAATGAATCATTCTGCCTTAGAGTGCTGGTACAGAATGGATAATTCTTTTTAGTCTTAATCTCGTTCTACTCCTAAAGCTTATGTTGTTTCTGCATCACCACCTTCACCACAAGTTGCCTGGTACATTGATTCCACAGCCTCTGATCACATTACTAATGATCTAACTAATTTCTCTTTACATGAGCCCTATCATGGTCCAGATCAAGTCACTATTGGAGATGGTTCCTCACTTCCTATTCACAATATAGGTAAAGGTATTCTTCCAACACCTTCTTCTCTCCTTCTTAACAAAATTCTCCATGTGCCTTCCATTTCTTCTAATTTGCTCTCTGTTCACCAACTCACTTCTGACAACAACTGTTCTATCACTTTGATACTAATACCTTTACTATTCAGGACAAGGCTACTAACAGAATTTTGCATAAATGTTGCCATTCTAATGGTCTTTATCAGCTTTCTCCATCTAGTTCACAGTCAGCTTCACATCCAGCTACTTGCTATCACAGTATTTCTACTTCTGCACCTAATTGGCATTTCAGATTAGGTCATCCATCATTCCAGAAACTTCAACACACTGCTACTACTTCTAAACTTTCTTCCTTTTCACACACTACCACTGGTTTATGTTCTCATTGTTGTGTCTCTAAGACACATAGATTACCAATTACTTTGTCAAATTCTACTGTTAATAAGCCCTTTACTTTAATACACTCAGATGTAGGGGCCCCTTTCTCTACTTCTGTATCCAGATTTAAATACTATGTTGTTTTCATTGATGACTTCAGTAAATTTACTTGGTTATATCCTCTGCATTTTAAAAGTGAAGTCTTTTCAAAATTTCTTGAATTCAAGGCCATGGTTGAATCACAATTTACTACTTCTCTTCAAATTTTACGAAGTGATAATGGTGGTGAATATCTAGCTAAAGAATTTCAGAATTTTTTGTCCTCCAAAGGCATCTTGCATCAGCTCACATGTCCTTATACTCCTGCACAGAATGGGGTTGCCAAAAGAAAGCATTGCCATCTCATTGAAACAATTATTGCTCTTATGCATCACTCTTCCTTACCCTTGCCGTTATAGTTTGATGCATTGGCTACTGCAGTTGTTTTTATCAACCGACTTCCTACAGCTAAACTTCAATTTCTCAGTCCCTTTGAGGTTCTTTTTCATAAGCCACCTGATTACTCTTTTCTTCGTACTTTTGGTTGCCGTTGTTATCCTTGGTTAAAACCATATACTTCTCACAAACTTCAACCTCGCTCCATTCCTTGTGTCTTTATTGGTTAATATCCTGCTATTAAAGGATATTAGTGTTTGGATCCTATCACCAACAAAATTTACACGTCTCGCCATGTTGTTTTTGATGAGCATCTTTTTCTTCTTCTTCTTCGCTGTCTTCTTCATCTCCCTCTCATCCTCAGTTATATTCCTTTTTCTAGTCTACCTCTTCTCCGCATGTTAGTCCACAAACTATATCCAATATCCTTCCCATGTCTCATCCAGCAGCTACTGTCCCTGCAGCCCCAGCACCAACTGCAGCTGCAGTCATCTCATCAACTTCTCAGTCTGCTTCTCCAGCATTTCCATCACCAGCAGCTCCACCAGCATCTTTGTTTGCTCCTCTGTATGCTTTTACAGCATTTTCATCACCCGCAGTTCCACCAACATCTCTGTTTGCTCCTCCAATAACCGCAACTCTGTCTGTTCCTCCATCAACTCCACCAGCAATTGCCCCAACACACCCACTAGCTCCGTCTATTCCTATCTCTACCTTGACTATTGATTTACCATTTCCATCTCAAGCTTCTCACAATATTCATCCTATGGTCACCAGGTCTAAGTCTCATCTTCCTGCTACTGCCTTTGTTGCCACTTCTGTAACTGAACCTTCTTCCTTCAAAGAAGCTTCTCAGTCTCCTTCTTGGACTCAAGCTATGCTTGAAGAGTATCAGGCTCTACAAAAGTAGTCCACTTGGTCTCTTGCTTCTTTACCACCCAACAAATAGGCCATTCGATGTAAATGGGTATACAGATTAAAGACTCACTCCGATAGCTCCATTGCTCAGTACAAAGCCCGGTTGGTAGCTAAGGGCTATCTTCAAGAAGAGGGTGTGGATTTCCAGGAAACTTCCAGTCATGTGGCCAAGCAACCTACCATTCGCATTTTGTTGTGTCTTGCTCTTCACTTCAATTGGTCTATCAAACAGCTTGACATCAGTAATGCTTTCTTACATGGAGTGTTGGATGAAGAGGTTTACATATCCCAACCTCAGGGGTTTATTGATTCCACTCGCCCTCATTTGGTCTGCAACCTTCACAAAGCCTTGCATGGCCTTAAGCAAGCTCGAAGAGCCTGGTTTTCCACTTTTTCCTCCTACCTTCTCTCTCAAGGTTTTCTTTCCAGTCACTGTGACTTCTCATTGTTTGTTCGCAAAACCTCTACTTCTCTTACCATTTTGGTTATCTATGTTGATGATATCCTTGTTACTGGTAGTGATCCTTCCTTCATTACCTCTCTTCTTGCTCACATGCACACTATTTTTTCTATGAAAGAGTTAGGTTTCATCAACTATTTTCTTGGCATCTCTGTCATCTCCTCTTTAACTGGTTTCTTCCTTAATCAAGCTAAGTATGCTACAGAAATTTTGGCTAAAGTTGGAATGCTCAATTGTAAGGTCTATGCTTCTCCTATGGCTATCAAATCCTCTCTGTCTTCTCATTCTAATGTTGAGCTACCTTTTGACAACCCTTCTCTTTATCGAAGTCTTGTGGGTGCCCTTCAATACTTAACTATTACTCGTCCGGACTTGGCTTTTGCTATCAATTCAGCTTGCCAGCATATGCACTGTCCTCTGGTTAGTCATTTTCATGCTGTCAAACGTATCTTATGCTATGTCAAAGGTATTATCCATTTTGGTCTTCTGTTTTCTCCTGGTCCTCTTATTCTCCATGCTTACTCGGACTCTGATTGGGCTGGCAGCTTTGTTGATCGCCGCTCTACTACTGGGTTTTGTATCTTTCTTGGTCCCAACTTGGTTTCTTGGTCGGCCAAGAAACAACCCATTGTCTCTCGATCATCATCTGATGCGAAATATCGCGCGTTAGCTCAAACTACTGCTGAGCTTAGCTGGTTGGGCATGCTTCTTACAAATCTTCATATCTTTTTTCCCACTTTTACTCTCTGGTGCGACAATCTTTCTGCCATCTCTAATCCTGTCTTCCATGCTCGTTCTAAGCATATCAAAGTCGACTATCATTATGTTCGCGAACGAGTGGCCGCCAAGTTTTTGTCTGTCCAATATGTCGCCTCTTCTGATAAGATAACAGACATTCTTACAAAGCCTCTATCAGTTGCTCGCTTTCACTTGCTTCAGTCCAAGCTGTTGGTTGTGCCTTCACCCATCAGCTTGCGAGGGAATGATAAACCACCACAACAACCATCATCAGACCAACAATAACCATCAGATCAACAACAACCATCAGATCAACTTCCTAGACTAACTGAATAACTAATAGAGTTAGGGTTAGTTAGGTTGTTATTTTACTGTAGTTAATAAACTGTTAGATGTTGAGTTTATATAAACCATGGTTATGATATAAGACTTGTTGTATGTATAGATCAAATACATTACTATATGAGTTTAATGAATTCAATGATACCAAATCTCTTTAATAACGAGTCCCCAAACCACAACACGATTTACTGGGCGCTAACCGAAAGATATTGTGACTTATCTCAACATGCCATGCTTTACTAGTAGCTAGTTGGAACAAAAGTGAAACCTCCATATAACCTCAACAATTCACATGTTTTACCGATCACAAGCCAAAAGGTAAGCAAACCTTATCTCTATGCGCCACGCTTTACCAGTCGTTATCTAGAAGGAATGCAAAACCTCCAACCACGCTTTACCAAGCTCAAACTAGAAGGAATGCATAATCTTTGTCAATGCGCCATGTTTTGACCAGTCACAAGTTGGAAGGAAACGAACCCTTCATATCGCTCATCACCTTCCATAACGTTCTAAATTAAATAATCAATCAACAACATGTAATATGTATAGCCTATTCTACAACAATAAACATCATCATCGACTGATGGCCAAAGACAAAATCTCTAATCATTATATAACACAACTCTCAAAATTTTAATAAATCTAAACCTCACCAACAAGACATAACATAGTGCAAATCCTATATTCAATTGAATTTAATTTCCATTATTCACAATTACAACATGTTCAATCACGTAACAATTATTCATTTGCTTGTCTCACATAAATAAGTTAACCACTTAATCAATTTCTTTCTAATCATCATAAAATTACAATTAAACAAATTTTGATGCCCATTTTCTTATTTCTCTTCTTATATCACATCTCTTTCCATAATAATCAATATGGTTCAAAGAAAAATCAAGAGATTAACAATTAATCTCATTTCCCAACATTATTAAATAGAAAATAATTAGGGCTTTTTATTTCAATCTTCATAATCAAGTTTCATTGACTTCAAGTTCTCAAGATCAACATTAAAATATAAGATTTACTCCTTATATTCAAAACCCTAACTCACATCTACATATTTTTCACAAATCTCCTTCCAACCCACGATTTTATGCAATAGTAAAATGTTAGAAAAAATAGTACCAAACTATAAGGAAAATATAAATTAAAAATATATAAATGCTTTTTAGGCAAAACCAAAAACTGAAATATATCAACATAATAACGTGATAAAACTTACAGTACATAAAAAGGATAAAACCTGATCGAGTCGAGTGTGTGACACTCTTTCCTTAAGACAGATTCGTCCTTCCACCGATGCTTAGGATTCAATGGATGTCTATCTCCCAGGATACAACGATCAATGTCTTGCACTAGCAGCACTACTATTGCAAACCTAGCGAACTTTGCTGTGCATGAACTCTCTTTATAGGAAAATGAGACTCAGAAAATATGAAGAATAATGCAAAGTGAAGAAGAAAATGACAATTCACTGACCAAATTGAAGTGAGGGAGATGGAATATATAGACTTCTATGTGACTCTTCAGAAAGGTTGTGAGCCTTCAAAAGGACACACTCTTCCATCTCAAGAGACACAACCATTGGAGTAAATTTAAATTCAAATTTTTCCAACAATCCCCCACATGAATGAAATTTACGGAAAGGACATGCAACAACATGCAGACAAAGAGAGAGTACATTAAGGAAATACCCTGCATCGGGATAGGTAGCTTTCGGCTTTGAACCTTCCCTAGTGAAAGCCTATCGGACTTACTAGCTAATCAGTGGACGTGATGCCTTGAACTGTTCAGCCGTTTGTGTAAGCCAAGACAATAGAATTCACACAGAATATCTCCAAACACAGCTTAGTTCTCACGGTTGTGCCCGTTTTGGCCTTGGGCAAGTCCTGGTGTTTCTTGAGTGCTTTAGAGAATTTAGCCTTATCAATTCTCATAGAAGCGGCCCCTTCACACTCATATAGGTGATCCTTATTTCGAGTCTCTTAAATACTCCTCTTGAAAGATACCCCTCTAGGATTTCCAAGATATAAGTAATCATTAAAAGCATAGCTTACCCTAAATCCCCTATATACAACACATGTTGCAAATATCACTCTCATCATAGGAATGGATAGGAGTTAGACTCCTTTAGTGATTTCTGGCGAGCCACACATAACTTAGTTGTCCCTTTGAACTTAGTTCTTGGGATCTCCAGTCATCTAAGTAGGGTTACCATTATGATGACTCTGAATGGTAATAGGCTTTAATCACAATTCCCCTCGATAAAACTTTCCCTCAATCTTGCTTTTTTTAGTCAAACTTTGTTTAGCGGCCGGCTATTTTTCGTTGGACCTCTTAGTTTATATATCATTTGAGTGGTTCGATCAGGGATCACTATATTATCCTTGGACAATATGCACAACTAAGCAAATGTCTTACGGTATTAAGTCTTTGATTATATCGAGACTTACCATTACTTCTTGCTATGTCACTTTCTATTTTCAAATTTAAATATTAGAACATGAGGTGTTCCTTAGGAGTAAATGAACCATATTTGCTTCTACTCGCCAACTTTGACCTATAAAAAGAATTGAGATTCTTTGTGGACCTACAATCGCGGACCCGTTACTATAGGTAAAATTTCCAAGCACCCGACATTGTTAAGCGTTCCAAGGAAACTTAATTTCTCTTGCTAGGTGTATAATTACACAACAAATATTAACCTACACCCCACAATTCTTGAGATAAAATCAAAACATATCATTAATTGGCGTAACTTGAACTAATAACATAGATGTAAATTGCTTTGTGAAATCAATCACAATACTAATTTTGTCTAAATACAATTAAAAGCTTCATAACTACTTGTCCTTTTGCAGTACAAAGAAGAAATGACATAATACACCTTGTTCAGGTAACATAAGTGTGAGGTTGTGCCACAACACTTATTGTCAAATGATATTTCATTTAGCCATAAATTAATTTTCCTTTTTGTTTAACTTACAATCCTTATTCCAAATCTACAACATGGAACATATAATAATATGACTTGTATAATAAAATACATTTAACATCTTATTTGTACTTATCCAGTATTGTTGACTATGTGACAAATCTACCAAAGTGGCTTTCAAGAGGACGAATCTTGTCTTCAAGGAAGGTGTCACACACTCGACTCGATCAGGTTTTATCCTTTTTATGTACTGTAAGTTTTATCACGTTATTATGTTGATATATTTCAGTTTTTGGTTTTGCCTAAAAAGCATTTATATATTTTTAATTTATATTTTCCTTATAGTTTGGTACTATTTTTTCTAACAATCTTAAGACAGATTCGCCCCGCTATGGTACTTACGGTTGAGTGGACGTCTATCTCCCAGGATACAACGATCAATGTCTTGCACTAGCAGCACTACATTTGCAAACCTAGCGAACTTTGCTGTGTATGAACTCTCTTTATAGGAAAATGAGACTCAGAAAATATGAAGAATAATGCAAAGTGAAGAAGAAAATGACAATTCACTGACCAAATTGAAGTGAGGGAGATGGAATATATAGACTTCTATGAGACTCTTCAGAAAGGTTGTGAGCCTTCAAAAGGACACACTCTTCCATCTCAAGAGACGCAACCATTGGAGTAAATTTAAATTCAAATTTTTCCAACATAAAATACCACAAGTATATCTATAGCAAAATATTGAAGAAAAGAAAAGAAATCCCTACCTCTGGAAAAGAAGAGGAGAAAATCCAAAAATTTAACCACAACGAAAAGATGATCTGCTCGAATCAAAATAAAACTCTCGTCGTGCTCTATGTTCTAGTATAAGGAATTAGGGTGAGATTTTCACTCTAAAGAGATGAAATCCAAAGTATAAGAGCTTGAAGCATGGAAATAGAGGGGGGGAGAGAGAGAGAGAGAGAAATAGAAAAGAGTATAAAGAGTGAAAGAGATTTGACCAAAAAAGTGACTTCAAACAGCTGATCCCAAATAGATCGCTCAAGCGGCGAAACGGGCGCTCGAGCATGAGAGATAGAAGACCACTCGAGCAGTAAAATCTGCGCTCAAGTGAATATGACAAACTCCCAATATCTCCAACAGCAAAATGAACAGACCGTTCAAGGGGATAAACTTGCACTCGAGTGCCATTACATACTAGCAAAATCTTAGACTGCAGAGCAATGCACTGAACGCCTGAAAAGACTGCTCAAGCGCTCACTCTTACACTCAAGCAAAGAGAATTTTCAAATTGCTACAATAAACTTGCCTTAACATAATTCAATTAATATTACTCATATAAAGAGAGAATAAATTCATATGAATCTAAATAAGAGATTATTAATAAAACTCACGTACATTAAAAAAATAAAATAAAATGAATAAATAATAAAAAAATAAAATAAAGAGCCTCACATAAATATGTGATATGTGATTACCAATTAATTTAGTTAAGCCTCATATAAACAATTTACCAAAAGAATAAATTCATCTTTAAATATGAACATTTTCTTTTCTTTTCTTTTGATTAAAAAATCAATGAACCTATGTCAATGTTTCTCATTCAATTTGTTTGTTTGAGTTTTATTTTTATTTAAAAAAAAAAATTTAGAAATTAGTTTGGAAAAAAAAGTAAAAAAATTCTAAAAAATTTCAAAAATGACTTTGGAAAAAAAAAAACTCATTCTTTTTATATGATTTTCCCTTTTTTGGTAAATAATAATTTTAAAATTTTAAAATGTGTTTTTTAATATTTATTTTTGTCAAAACTAATTTCTAACTTTTGAAAAAAGAAATTAGGGCACAAACTCTAAAAACTCAACCAAACAAAATTATATATATTTGGATCACGTATTTATTTTATTTTATTTTTTAGTTGTGTGTATCATGATACTACAATCCCAAGGCATAGTATATATTTGGATCACGTATTTATTTTAAAAATTATTTTTCTCTACTCGTCTCTGTATAGTAATAACAAATTGATAACTTAATTAATTGGAAAGCTACTTTTTCCTTAAAAGCCTCCACTTTGAGGTGGGTTGACAATTGGCCAGTTTGTAATTTTCGGGTAAATTGGGAAGGCTCCATAGTCTTACTGTTATATAAATGATATTATAAACAAATGCCACATCGCTTCGGACAATAATTGAATTTGATATAAAAATGAACAAATTATAAATTATATTTATAGTTTGCAGCTGGTATCAAATTAGTCATGAAGTTTCAATTGTATCATTTTTTGTTTATTAATTTTTCATGCTTTGTTAATTTAATTCATAACATCAATTAAGAAATTAAATAAATATGAAGTGTAAATTAGCTTATTTAAAAAAGAATCAATCATTTTAAATTCAACATTAATCTCTCAATTACGTTTAGCAAAGTAAATTAAATTAATTATGTTGAGCGTTCAAATATATGCCTAGAATAAGTCTCTGATAACTTTCCCAGGAAAATGTATCAAAATGGATAAGAATTTAACAGTTGAAAAAAATAAAAATAAAAAATTGAGCATGGGATGACTCTTTCATTCAATATTTTGTAACTCATACGTATGATTAGAAAGTAGAGAGAGGAGATTCATCTCAATCAATGGTATTGGCGGTGAACAGCTATATTAGTTACGAACCGATACATATAGTGGCCGGGTCAATTCACGTTGATTTTCATTCTTATGGGAGAACCGGGTTGCATTGATATTAGGAGTCCTAGGCTAGAACCCAAAATATAGCAGTTGATATTAATTACAGATTTATACGGTTATACAAATAGAAAATTAAAACATAATGATACAACAAGTTTCAATTTTAAAGTAATGATACACAAACATAATTAATGTACAACATTTTTATAGAGAATGATTTGGCTCTTTGTGGTTGTGTTGTTTTACAAATGATATTATCACATTAAACTTAAATTATGTCTAAATTTTTATGATTTTATTAACTTTAAAAAAATTTAAAAATAAGAAAACATAAAAAAAAAAAAAAAAAAAAAAAAAAAAAAAAAAACACGAAGCATCAAGACGGCCTATATATTCAACAATATCAAACTTTAAGTTTGGGATGGCAATGGGTCGAGATTTTCGAATTTTGTGCGGGTGTTCTTAACTTTAAACTCAATTATCTTAGTCATACAATTTCAAACTTTACACTAATTTTGACAATTTGGCCTACCTACCTTTACACTCGACCCTACCCTATTAATGCTCTCCAAAATATTTTCTATTAGAATCAAGTTTGGTCAAATACAGTCAAGTAAAATAATTTTACCTCCAAGTTCCATTTTGTTTCATTTTAAAAGAATTACACATTTATGCATGATTACAAAGCTCTAATTCTTTTGTCTGATGAAAATTGTTTACAGGGTTGTGATGCATCCATACTCATTGACTTAACACAGACTATGCAATCCGAAAAAGATGCCTTTCCAAACCAGTCTATCCGAGGATTTGATCTCATCGACCAGGCCAAGTCAAACCTTGAGGCCGCATGTCCCAGAATAGTCTCTTATGTCGATATCATAACCCTAGCAACCTGAGACTCGGTGGCCCTAGCCGGTGGGCCCAACTATGCTGTCCCAACCGGCAGACGAGATGGTTTGGCCTCTAATCCGAACCTTGTGAACTTGCCAGGCCCATCCCTTTCTATCTCACAGGCACTCAAATTCTTCATAGCCAAAAAACTCACTCTCAAGGACATGGTCACCCTTTTGGGTGCACATACTATTGGTGTTGCTCACTGTGGTTTTTTTCAAGATCGACTTTCGAACTTCCAAGGGTCTGGGAAACTTGACCCGACTGCATTTTTTGATCAAAACACATCTTTCGTATTTGATAACGAGTACTACCATCAAATTAAGTTAAAGAGAGGTGTGATGCAAATTGATCAAGAATTTGCCTTGGATAAAGGTAGTGCTCCTATTGTGACGGGTTTTGCAAGCAATGCGATTGGGTTCCAACAAGGTTTCGCAAAGGCGATAGTGAAGATGGGGGGAATTGAAGTTCTTGTTGGAAATGCCGGGAAATTAGAAAAAATTGTAGGGTTTTCAATTGAGCCAAGCAGAAGAAATCCATGTCCCGAATCTTTTAAAAATTCTCTTATTTCTGTGTTCCAAGCTTCAATAATTTCGTTTCCAAATACCAACGTTTAGATTTCCATGTTCAGTTGAATTGATAAATTGTAAACTTTTCCTAATTATTTAAGGATTAATTTGTTCTTTGCCTATTGGTTTGTTTCATTTGTTTGGTGAAGATATGTGTTCATAAATGAGTGTAGATTCACACATGAGTGTTCCAATTTGATTTTCATTGATATAAATAATTGAATTTATCACTTTATATTATTTTCTTAGAAATAACTAGCCAAGTGTCAAATCAAAACTTAAATGGTCTGAAATATTATTCCAAGATCATCAAATTGTTACCCCGTGAGTAGATGGAGGGTGAATCTCCCTATATAACCATGGTATTGCTATTTGGAGTGGGATTTGCAATATGGAAAAAAAAAAAAAAAAAATGAGTAAAGGGAAAATCAAATCCAATTTTTCCCTTGTTGTCTAAGTGTAAAGAATTAAAAATGATTTTTTTTTTATATTTTTTATTTTAAGTTTGATGCATGGATGGCAAAATTTCCCAACTCAATTTTATTTGTTCTGACTTGACTTTAATATAAATGGTTTGAGATAGTATTGATTGGATAGGGTAAAGTTTAGTTAAAACTGTTAAGTTTATAGTAAAATATAAAATTGCATCACTAAAATAATTGAGTTTAAAAAAATTTACACACAAAATCGGAAAAATTTGATATGTTGCCATCTATAGTTTGAAGAGGGAAACAACAAAATTATCTATGAATAGTGAATCTAAGATCCAAATTAAGGTATTAATAAACCTCTTTCTTTATCGACAAATATATATATATGAGACGGTAATTTATGTGAAAATTGGGCCGAGCTGGGTAATGGGCCGTTATGAGCCGCAGTACAAAGGGCCGAGTAAAATGGCCATATAAGTTACTCCGGTCATGTGGATATTGTGAAGTTAGTCCGGTCCTAAGGCCGAGAAGCTAGTCCGGTCTGACAGAAGATCGAAGTTAGATCGGTCTAACAGTACTTTGGAGTTAGACCGGTCTTAGAGTTGCATCGGTCATGACATGTTAGTTCGGTCTAACCACGTCATGGGTTGTGCAGGAGAAGCCGATGTAAGAGCAGTAAAAGGAAGAGTTAGTTCGGCTTATTCTGCGACTATACATAATCATGTTTACTTCGGTCATATTGGAGTTCGGCCATGATAAAACCATCTCACTTGGTTTAAGCAGTGAGGGGGGTGTTGAAGGATAAGCATTATCTTTCAGGAGTATGAATCCTAGGAGGACTCTGCATGGAGAAGTAAAAGTCCTACTAGGATTGTGCCACACGGAACCTATAAAAGCTCACAACATCACCTTTGGAGAGGTAACACACAATTTTGCCTTCTGAATACACAGAGCTTTTGTCTATTTGACAAGCTTACTGACTTAGGCATCGGAGAGGTTTCCAGCACACACCCGCCGGCTAGCTCATGTTTGTGTTTTTAGGTGATAAAACGACGACGTACAGAGGAGCGCAGACTTGGTCAACAGGATTATATGAGAAGGTTTATTTCTTTCCCGTACAATTGGCGCCGTCTGTGGGAAAAACAGACAGGACAAAACCTCTTGATCAAGTTTTACCTCTTTAGGTACAATGGCACACATTGAAGAATTACCACAGTCCGCCATCGACGGGCAAACTCCAGATAGAGGTGCAAGGCGTGAAGGATTACCTTCTATCCCTCCCATGGCAGACTTAGAGTCCCAACGACATAACCCCAGGAGAGATACTAGGGGAAGGCGGACTCACAGCCCCCGTCATCTCATTCACAAAGTCCTGACAGGCAAAGGTGGATGGTTGATCCTCAAATTCTGGAGGACCGCGTGAAGGAGCAAGACGAATTAATAAGGAAGATGGTGGCCGACATGGAAGCCTTAAAACGCCAGATGAAAGGAAAAGGAGTGGCGACAAGAGAGGGGCGCAAAAACAAAATGCTCCCTCGCCGCTAAGAAGACCATGGAAGACATTCCACACCATCACAAGCAAAGAGTAGAAGCCTCAGGATAGGCGATACTCAGTCTAGAACCTCTAGAACTCGTTACTCCAGGTCTGAGAGAACGAGATCATTGAGGTCTTACACAGAGGGAAGTACTTACCGACCTTCGCACTTGCACCAAACATTATCCAAACAGACGG